TCGAGGCTTTGAGGGTGAAGAAAATGATTCTGCTGGAGATATAATGCTTGAATTGGTGATAAGGTTAGTTGGTTTCAGTGTGAAATTCCAAGTGCAAGATGTGGTTGTCTCCTATAGTTTGTTATTGGGTAGGCCCTGGATACATACGGCTAAGGCAGTGCCATCTTCTCTACATCAAATGGTAAAATTTGAGTGGGACAGGTAAGAAATAGTTGTGCACGTTGAGGAGGATCTGTCTCTGTATGAAGATTCATCTGTTCCATTTGTTGAGGCTAGAGATGATAAAGGACCTTTAGTTTACCAAACTTTCGAAACAGTGTTCGTCGAAAAGATTCCTGAAGGAAAATGCATTCCAAGGCCGAGGCTATCACCTTCGATTGTCATCGTAGCTAATGAGATATTGAAGTATAGTTTTGTGCCGGGTAAAAGTCTGGGTTCATCTCTACATGGTATTGTGCATCCAGTGTGTCCATGTTGAAATTTGGAACATTTGGCTTAGGATTCATACCCACAAAGAAGGACATAAAAGGAGATAAAAAGCTGAAACGGAAGGTATGGTCGCTCCCTAAGCCCATTCCATACATCTCCAAGTTTTTTGTCAAGTCGGGGGTCGTGAAATGTCCAATTTCATTAGTCCCTGAATCAGTGATTGATTTTGATGAAGAGTTGATCCGAATGTCCCAAAATCTATTTGGTAAGGTTGGTTTGGTTGAAATTGTGGGACGTTCTAACAATGAAGATGTGCAGTTTGCTGGGCCGAATGTGAAGCTTAGCAACAAGGAAGCTACTCCTCTCCCCACCTGGGAGGAGTTTTGGTAGTTTGCTTTATTTTTCATTCTATCATCTGGATTATTCGAGGGTTGTAACCCAAATTGCACTTCTGCTTGTTTTGATATTCAAACCCTTTTAATCATTCTATTTTCAGCGAAATACAATTTTTTCTTCTTTTATTATTATTCCTAATATCTGGTTCAATTCATTTTTCTTTATACAGTTCTTTTTATGCTGGTTCTAGTGACATGAAATACATGAGGAATTATTAGCCAGATCTTAAAAGTCAGTCTAACCTTGAAATAATGATCCAAGAAGTCGAATGTGATGAAGAGGCAGAATTTGAGAAAATAGAAGCTGAGATCCCATCCCTCCGAATTTTGGTAGAAGTTGAAATTGATAGTGATGGGTGGCGAGAAAAGATTGGCAACGAAATGTCATGATCAATTTTATCAAGAGAAAATAGCTAGAGTCAAGTTTGCCTCCAGCTGGCAGGGGCCGTTCATTGTGATAAGGGTGTTGCCCAATGGTACTTTGTATTTAACAGACATAGAAGGCAAATGTGTATATATAGCTATCAATTCTGATGCAGTCAAGAGGTACTATGTATGAGTTCTTTTCTCATTTTCAATTGCATTTTGTACTTGGCATGTTCAAAGTTGAAATGACGAAGGCATTTTGTTCCGTTACCCAAATACTTTCATCCTTTGCTACCCCTTTTGAGCCTTATTTACTTTCTTTCATACCTCTCTTTTGGAATCAGAAGTAGAGTTAGAAAATAAAAATAAAAATAAAAAGAAAAGAAAAATAAGGGAAAAGGAAAAAAGAAAAGAAAGAAAGAAAGGGGGGAAAAGGAAAAAAAGAGAAGAAAAAAAAAAGAAAAAAAAAAGAAGAAAGAAAGAAAAGAAAAGAAAAGGAAAAAATAAAAAGAAAAGAGAAGTAACAAAAACAAACAACTTTTGTTTGAACTACGTTCGACCTGATTCCTTTTAAAGATACGTAGGCAGCCTTACACGGTTCGGTCCCATCAAAATAAAAATCCAAAATTCCCCAGACCCTAAGAAACTGGGGAAGAAGTTTTGGTTTTGCAAAAGATCTGATTCCAAAAGTTGTAATTTTGCACCATTTTCATCTTAAATTATTTTTAACCTTCATGCCACCCTTTCTTTCTAACCCTGTCCAAAAGCCTATATTATGTTCCAAAGAAATACCTTCCGATCAATCTTTGAGGATGCCAAGTCAAGCGAGATAGAGGTATGATTTACATCATGGGTAAAACTTTGTTCATGGGCACAAAGGAAAATGAATAAAATGAGAGAGTCTTATTTGTGAAAACCCTCACAGGCACGTAAGGCAATGGTGAGTTGAGAGAAAATTTGAAATGAGAGAGTCTTATTGGTGAAAACCCTTACGGGCACCGTAAGGCGATGGTAAGTTAAGAGAAAATTTGAAATGAGAGAGTCTTATTGGATAAAACCCTCGCGGGCACCATAAGGTAATGATGAGTTGAGAAATGAACAAATGAGAGAGGCTTGTTGGTGAAAACCCTTCGGGGCACTACAAGTCGAATGAGGCTCGTGACTTTATAGAAAAATTAGATCATTGGAAGCCCGGTTTTTAAATATGAAGACATGACATGAACTGAAAATATGATTGGTTGGACGGATTAGGCTGATCAATCCAAAATCCATGTCATGATCATTGGAGCCAGCCGCTTCTCTCAAATAAGTCTTCTTTTTCCCATGTTTCTTCATATAGTCATCTTTGTTCAAATTTTCCTTTGCTCCTTTTGCCCAAAAATCACTTCATATTGTTATTTGAGTTATTTTACGAGTCTCTTTTGAGTTATCCTTGTTGAACAAGCAGGAAAGGATTTCAAAACCTACTACCAACTTTTAAATGGCACAAAGCGGAGTTTGGGAAAGCACATCACAAATGACATGATTCAGAATGAGCAGTATGGTGATAAATGAAGGTTAGGTCATAAGGTGATTCTTGAATTTCAAGAAAATACGAAGATTCAGCAATTTTCAGAATGAAAACACAATGCAACAAGTGAGTGTAAGAGATTCAGGTCATTCAGAGGTTTTATGGTCCAGTTCCAATCAAAAGGTCAAACAACTCTTTGCTAGCCCAAAGCAGCTAATCAGAATGAAGCATGGTAGTGGCAGAAGTAGACACTCAACAATAATGCCACAAACTAACCACCACGTTTTCAAACTAACAAGATTTTATTTGTCTGAAATAGGGGCAAGAAAATTTGTTAATCCGTAGGGACCCTCCATGGGAAAGCATAGTTCAGGGGCAAAGAACTTTGTTCTTTCTGCAAGGATCCTCCAGGAAGAGAGAATGACTCAGGTAAGTTCATTTTCGGCTTTTTAAGACCCTCCTGGATAATGAAATTTAGTTTCAAGTTTTCAAGACCCTCCTAGATAATGGAATTTAGGTTTTAAGTTTTCAAGACCCTCCTGGATAATGTGATTTAATTTTAAAATTTGCAAGGATTTAGGTTTAAGTTTTCAAGACCCTCCTGGATAATGGGACTTAGATTTTAAGTTCTTGGGACCCTTCTAGGTAATGGGATTTAATATCAAATTTTCAAAGATTTAGGTTTTATGTTTCCACGACCCTCTTGGAAAATGGGGTTTAACTAACAGTCACTAATGTTCCTAGTACAAACTGGGGCAAAAATTTTCTTTGTTTTGTCTGTTTTGTTTTAATTACAGGAGCCTACCTAGAGAACGAGGGAATTCATTTCGAGTTTCAAGCAAGTTGCTGGCGCCCACCTGGAGAACGAGGGAATTCATTTCAAGTTTTAAGTCATTGGCATGCGCCCACCTAGAGAATGAGGAAATTTATTTCGAGTTCAAGTTGTTGGCAGGCAGGTACCTAGAGAACGAGGGAATACATTTCGAGTTTTAAGTTAGTTGCAGGTGACCACCTGGAGAATGAGGGAATTTATTTCAAATTCCAAGTCAGTATCAGGCTCCCACCTGGATAATGAGGGAATTTATTTCAAGTTTCAAGTCGGTCGCAGGCGCCCACCTGGAGAACAAGGGAATTCATTTCAGAATTCATTTAAAATTCCAAGTTAGTATCAGGCGCCCACCTGGAGAATGAGGGAATTCATTTCAAGTTTCAAGTCGGTTGCAGGTGCCCACCTGGAGAATGAGGGAATACATTTCAAGTTTTAAGCAAGTCGCAGTCGCCCACCTGGAGAACGAGGGAATTTCAGTTCAAGTTTTAAGTTGGTCGCAGGCGCCTACCTAGAGAACATAGAAATTTATTTCAGAGTTACTTTCAATTATCAAATTCATGAGGCATCAGGAGCCCGCCTGAAGAACGGTGTCAACTTTTAATTTCCAAGTTCAAGTTAAAGAAGCATCAGGAGCCCTCTTGAAGAACATGGTCCATTTTTCAGTTTCACGTTGAAAGATCAAGTAGAAATTCCAAGAAGATTCAAGACAAGAAGTAGATAAGATCTTGTATTTTTTTTATTTTTTCTGCAATTTTTCCTTTTATTTTTTATGTAATGGCAGGAACCGCGGGCCGGAACCTCGACGGCACTTCACTCGACTCTCCAGCTCGGTACCATCGTCCTTCTCACTTATGAACTACACGTGGCTTGATTCCTTTATAACCAAGGATATGTAGGCAGCTCATATATCAGGCTCGGTCACATTCTCTTTTCTTTTAGTTTTGGTCTCTCTAAATAAGGGTCGGGTCAAAAACATGTCTTGTTGTTCTTTGTCTGAAAATTCTTCGTGTTTCCAGTCAAAGAGGGATATCTGTAGACATGTAATATTTGACCNTATATAGTATTTTATTTTGTTGTTTTAGTATTTTAAAAATTAAAAACATAAAAAATAGTTACACTTTTGATAGTTGATTTTATTTTAGTATTTTACATGGTTAATTACTCTGCATTTTTATAAAAGTATTTTATATTTATATTATATTAGAAGGAAAAATTAGTGTCTTTTATGGCAATTCATAAGCAATTTTGAGCCCAATATCCCCAAATTGAGGCCCAAAATTGGATCTCTTTGAGCCCAATCCCAGCAGACCCCCAAACCGGACTGACCCGTCCACTTAACCCATCTACCCGCCCCATCTTCGTGTTTAAATCTCAGCCATTCATCCCAATTAATCCAATGGCCCATGTTTTATCCCACCCCAATATAAATAAAACCTTATAACCATTAACCCTAAAACTAAAAATGAACCAAACGGCGCCGCCTCTCTCTACACGCTTCTGCCCGTTGCCTCATGCCCAAAATCGCCAGAAATTTGCTTTTCCGGCACGCGCTTTCATTGGTACCCCCTCCCCTTTTCTACCTTATCTTTCGTCCATGTGGTCTGACATGTAACAAACACCCACTCACTCGAATATTCCTTCAAATTTTTCTTTTTCTTGACAAATTCAAATTCTTTTCAGATGGGTTTTGGAAAATTGGAGGCCGTAGGATTAGAGTTTTTTTGATCCTAGGTTTTCACTTGTCTAAAATCGGTCATTTCAAAAAAGAATTTTTGGATTTAATAAAGGTTTGGATTTTTCAGAGTTTTGGAGAAGATTTTCGGATGTTTGAGGTCCCCACGCGATTTCTTGGTGAAGAAGTATAGAAGTTTCGAGATGGAGTATATATTTTGGGCCTTTTTCTTTTAGTCGGGGGAGGCCAGTCTTTGGGAGGAAAAATTAGAAAGCTAGGGTTTTGGTTCTGATTTACAATCTTCATCTTCTACTTTTAGTTTCATTCATATAAAACGTTAGTGTTTCTATTAGTTCTTCTTTTGATTTTTGAAACAGAAAATATGTATATGTATATATATATGTATATGTATATGTATATATATATATATATATATATATATATATATATATATATATATGTGTGTGTGTGTGTATGTATATATACAATATTAGTTTGTTGATATGGTTTTCAATCATGGATTGCATCCGAGGTGTAGCGGAGGGTTGATTCGCTTAAGTTGCTGATTCGAGGTTCTCGATTCCGGTTCTTTGCTGAACTCGTAGCTGTATTCTGAGCATTTGGTTTTGTATTGGTACGTTTCATTTTCTGGATATCGAAATTAATCGAAAGCTGCAGTTTCAAGTTCAATCTCTTTCTCTTTTATATATTTGTATTAAGGTGCAATTAGAGTATGATAGAGCCGTGGAGAATTTGTTTCTAGAGTAGTGCTTTCTTTGATCAAGTTTAGTGGAGGTCGAGTCCGGAGTTATCTCTTGGTTGAGATTTGTGCTTACGAGGGATTTTGGAAATGGCGTTTTTGTTGTTTGATATCTTTTCGTCACTATTTTGATATGTTTGAGATTAGTCGGAGTTCGATTAGCTAGATTTTAGCTTAATTGGAAATTGTCCGGAGCGTTTGTCTAATTATGTTTCAATATGTTGTTTCAATTTGTTCTTCTCTGCTGGTTTTGAATTGACTGCTTGCATTAGATTTCATCATCGAGTGATTAGCATGATTCATCGATATTTATCGTGTTCGAGCTTAGAGTTCATGTGCATGATTAGTCTAAAAGGAAGAAAACCATTAATACCTGGCATGCTCTAACTGAATTCTGAATGATAGAGATACCATGAGCTATAATGTCGCCATGTTAATCTAGAAATTGGAGTGGTTCTGTTGTGTTTCGTTTGCTTCCAGTCTGCTGAAACTTTTTATTAATCTCTTTTTGTTGGATTTGCTTTTGTTTTTGGCTAAAATGTAATTTCATCTGTAGATCCATTCATGAACTAAAAATGCATGCCCTTAAACTTATTTACTTATTGAATCCATAAATCATTTTGTCTCACCGGATAAACTGAAGCTTAGTGACATCTACTTCTTTGTAAATTCGTGCAAACTTTTTTTCTGTTTGAAATGCAAACTGAATTTATATTCATTGGGGCGTCAAGAGATTGATCTATGCTATGCATCTTTCTAATTATCAAGACGACAGTGATATGCCTAAAAAGAAATTGATCCATGAATTAACCTTAGTGATTGATTGTTAGTTTCTTGTTCATGCTAAGAGACACAAATCCCTTTTATTGATTAAATATGAAGCTGATGACAAATGTTTACTTGGGTTAAACATGTTTGTGATGTGTGAAAGTTATTTGTGAAAGAATTTTATTTTGCGGGTATATATTGTAGACATGTGATTTTTGACCCCCCCCCCAAGATCTTTTATATTTTAGCACATAAATATTTAATTTAGGCCTAATATAACTATTTCAATTAATTTTTACTCTTTTACTTTATTTTATTATAAGAAAACGAAAACTACAAAAAAAATAGTTTCATTAATGTTTTGTAGTCATTTATAATCTTGAAAAATACCCAAAAATAGTTTTGTTTTAATAGTCAGTCTTATTTTAATAATTATTTTTACTTAAGTATGGCTAATTAATATTTCTATATGGATATATTTTTAGTTAATTAAACTAATTTTAAGCATAGCTAATCATAAAAGCCCATAATTTTCAAGCCCATAATTTCTAGGCTCATACCCCATAACCTAGAAAACCTTACAAATGCGTAGACCCCTAGAGCTAAGAGGAGGAGCTGAAAAGAGACACAANCTTCCTGAAACTTGAATTTCTTCTTCAACAAAGAGCATCCAACGACACACAAATCTTGAATCTCCAGCCGATTTCCATGGATAGAACCTAAGCTTTCTTCATCTTCTTAAAACAACAACATCCTCCTCTCTGATTTTCGAATCAAGCTAAAATGTCATGAAATAGTAGCTAAAGCTGCTGCCAGTTCCAGCTTAAATCCAGCTTCTCTAGCCTTTAAATATCTGTCCAAAAATGCCTAAAAAGATCACCAAACACCACTTCTTCTTCGCAAATTTCAACAAACACTTCAGAGATTCGACAAAAGAGTTTTGTCGTCCAATTTCTGTCCAAGCTCGGTCGAGTTGAATCCGGCCGAGGTCATTGTCGATGCTTTCCATTTGAGATCCCGTTCATGGCCCCGTCCGTTTTGAGTGTTAAGGTTGTCCATTGATCAAGGACCAGATTCATTTCAAAGGTCCATTATTCGCCTTTTATTTCTTGTATTTAATGGGTCATAACTGATTTTGATTTACTTGTGTTTATGTGGTAATAGTAATTTAGATCTGTTTTCTTCGATTTTGGAATTGGTTCGCTGAGGTATCTTCATCGACATGTGATGCTTGCTTTCACTGGTCTTCCCTTATTTTACTTGGTCACTAATTGAAATACTAGTCTCATGTTGGTTGTGTTTTAAGTTTTTTTATGCTCAAACTGACAAAAGAAAGTACTAATTTATGTGAAGCTAATCATGAAAGTTCGAAAAACTGGTAATTACGAATCGGCATGTTCATTTTGATTACTGTTGGTTATATTAAATTTGGAGACATTATAATTACTCAAACTCTTGTGACTTGTGTCAGCACTCTTAAGCCATGAATTGGGTCCTAGTTGAAACTTAATCTATTGCCTAAAATATGCAGTGATTTGGAAGTTATGACTATTTGTGTATGATCTTCATGATTGACAAGATTAATATAATTAACTTCCTCATAAAAAGGTGCCTTATTTAGTCTTTGGTGTCATTACTGTGAATTGCTAGGACTGTTCATTTGTGAGATGGCCAGTTTTAGTTTCATTATGAATAGTGGCAACAAGTGGAATTCTTTTGAGCATTCGAACTTTATTTGTGTCAATATATGATCTTGGGGTGCCTGAGCATGGTTGTCAGTGAAATTGGTATTAAAAGAGTCATGTTAATTCTCTTTAATTAGATTTTATATTTAATCTACAATTGACTTCCACAACCCATGGCCCTTACTTAATTAATGTTAATCCTTTAGAAATCGAGGTGTGCCATTTAGTTGAATTTTCCATGGCCCTCGCACACTTGAAAGTGCGTAGTTGCTTTAGGCGCGTAATTTAAATTAATTTCCTTAAACTCGGGTGTGCATTTCATGTGACCCAACTCCAATCCTCAACAACGTTAAATAAAGTATGTCGTGAATCGCGGGTGCATTTCATGTGGCATGGTTCAAGGCGTGTTTTAAATAACGTTGAATATTCCTAAAAGTGTTTCAAAATAATTGAAAGCGGTTAATAAGTTAAAAATGCACAATAGGTTTAAAATATGTAGTAAGTCAGATAATAGGACAATTATGATAGTTTAAGCGACCGTGCTAGAACCACGGAATCCTGGAGTGCCTAACACCTTCCCTCGGGTTAACAGAATTCCTTATTCAGAATTTCTGGTTCGCAAACTTCAAAAGGAAAGTTGAAATTTCCTCAATTTGAGAATTAAAATAAATCGGTGACTTGGAACACCAAATAAAATATTCCAAGTGGCGACTCTTAAAAAAATAATTATCCCGTTTCGATTGTCACTTAAGTTGGAACAAACTCTCTTATACTCCTTTCCGGTGTAGTGAAAAAGGAGGTGTGACAGCTCTGGCGGCTCTACTGGGGATCAAGAACCCATAATCTCTGGTTTAGGGTTCAAGAATTCGAGCTTAGAATAGTTGTTATATTTGGCTTTATTTATTATCTGGCTTTATTTACATGTTTGGACCTAATGTGCTAAATGTTGCTTTTACCGCTTTGATATTGTTGAATTGTCTATAAATTGTTACGAAACCATCTTCTCTCTGAGTTTTCTAAATTATCTGGGAAGTGTGCACTTCGTGTGACTTCTTTTCTATTAGAGTCATATCCCAATTTTAGAACGAGGTTCGGACAAGTTGCAAAGCCGGTGAAGCTTTTTTATTCCCGGTACGCTGCCTCCCCCCCCCCCCCGGCTCGAGTTGTCCGTTCGGGTAAGCCAGGTCTTGAACAAACAAACCCAGGTTTTTAAACATAGTATAACACAGCCTCATGCCGGATCCCTAGTAGGAACGCTTGTTTGCATCATGTGCATTTGACTTTGGGGA